CTTAGGGTTCGTTCACTTATTACGTAACGCACTAGGGGGGGAGGGGGGGTCTAAGATTTTGTTACGGTTTGTTACAGGGGGAGGGGGGGGTCTAAATTTTGTTACGTAACTTTTCAAAAAATATATTTTTTTATAATTTTTTCTATATTAATTTTAAATTTTAAAGGAAGTATAATAAACATTTGATAAACAATTTAAATGAAAAAAATTATTGTTACGTTATGGGGGGGGGAGGGGGGGTCTAAGATTTTGTTACGCTTTGTTACAGGGGGGGGAGGGGGGGTCTAAAAATTCGTTTTTTTGCGTTACGTAATAAGTGAACGAGCCCTTATATTCTTTGGGTTTTGTGCGAAGGTATTCTATGAGAAAAAAAATCGAATTATTTTTTAAAATCCTTGAAATTCCTTTACAACTTGAATAAAGCATCTTATTGATTAAATTATTATAAATATTCGTAAATGTTGAAAAAACTAAAATTAAGAAGGAACATGTTGAGACTGTGCAGATAATTTCATTATTATTTACACGTTATGCTAATTTACATACTGAGAGTGTTCAAAAGGACACAAAAAATTGTTGAGGACGATCATAAATGATGTAATGATGTAGCTTTCCCACAAATAACACTTCCCCATACCGAATTAAAAAAAAAAACATGAAAAATTAATTTGAACCTAGTCTTGCCTTTACAATAGATCATCCACCATGTTCAAATACTAGACGTCATTGACAAACAACCCCATTTCCAATTTTCTACACAAAAAAAAAACTTTTTTTATCTCCCCAAAAATCGTGTGTTGCGAGTGAGAAACACAAAGCACAACAGCATCACGTTGAAATGTATATAGGTAGATACTATAATAAAATGAGATCGTAGGATGAGATATAGAAAGAGAGAAGGAATTATATCAACAGAAAGGAAAAAGAGAATTTTCCGCTTTTGCATATCAACACAAAAAATATATTCGTTAATGCAAAAAAAAAGAGGAATCCACGATACTCTCATGTACAATGTGCCCACTAATACCATTAAATAATTTACAATTAAACCCCTCTGAAATCCCTGACATTTTCATCTCATCCCCCTCCCAATTCACAACTCTAAATATATTCTTCTTTTTTCCCTAAATGCTTCGACTACATTACATTAAAGAGAGAAAGAAGAAATAAAGTTTTTTTTTTTCAAAATTTATCATTTCCATTTATTTGCCTCTGTTGGTTCATCCACTCGATATCAGGAAGGACGGTCGAAAAGAATCTCATTTAATTAAAGCCATAAAACAATTGCAACTGAATCAGCATTAAAAAATATTCAAAAGTTTAAGTATGGAAATGTGTTTCCCCAGCTTTAAAGGCATTGAATTCAAGCATCATCTCCTGGGTGGATTTTTATTGATTTTTTTTTTCCTTTTCAGCTTCCACTTTTCGCCTCGAAAAACCATCTGATGGTGAAAATACTGTGGCGAAAATATATATAAAAAAGTAATCTCTCCCCTTTAAATACTTTCGGTGTATTTCTTGCATTCCATCTCACTTACTCAATTGCAATCTAACTTCTTCTATTTGTCTTCTTTCTTGTTACTGATACGATATTCACGGTTCAGGGATGATATCTTTGGTATGAGTGTAAATAGATGAGATGTGATTTAGATAAAGTGGAACAAGGTTGAAGGGGTACTGGTAAAGCCCGAATAGCACAAGTCGATTAATCGAAAAGAAATCTGGCACCAAGCAGGCATGGATTTATATCCAGCACCATGCCAGAATCATACCAGCTTTGTTCCGGATTTCTGATCGATTAACCAAATTATGCTATTCGGGAAGTAAGGTAATTGCAAGGGGGATAACAACTGACTGTAAAATATTTTTAAACAAACAAATTTAAGCTTAATTTCTATTAGCGAAATACATCAAGATGAGAAATTTTTTGAAAGAAGTTTCCCAGCATGTTCTTACCCCCTCGATTTTAAAGCAGTTATATTTTGATATAAAATATTTTACAAAAAGTTGTCCTCCCCCTAGCTTATTAAAGAATCTCACAGACACAAGTCAATAAAGATCCATCTCCTCTCGAGTCTCAAGATGGTTTTCTTTTACAAAGTCACCACAGACAAGTGTAATCGGGAAAAGGGGAAGAATCAAATCTCATTCTGAATCCGCTCTGAACCACAAATTTACAAATGCCCATAGTTTAACTCACATTAGTCTATGATTTAGGTAAGAAAGCTGTCTGTACTTGAGGAACTTTGCCTAAAATACCAAGTCTCTAAGCCAACAACTCTGTCTGTCACTCCGTTCCCTTTTGCGTTGTATTGAAATATTTCTTCATACTGATTAAGACTCACGCAAAATTAAATAGTGCTGTGATAAATGTGGATTAGTATGATGGCAAATTTTTTTATTTTATATTTCTATGTCGAGCACATTTTTACACACGCAATGAATTTGAAAAATTACTTTTCATTTCAAAATTAATTGCTTGCTTATCAAGCCTTATTCTGAAGCTTTAGTTTTCAGCTATGTACACATTAAGTTTCGCATGTTTACAAGGAAATGTCTTATTAATAAAAATTAGTTCTATTTGAAGGGACACCGTCCATGCTTTATTGTATTGATCTGATATGAATCGGTAGCAATAACCTTAAATTAAAGTAGAGTAGTTTAGGGTTGTGAGTATGTTAAAGGATCAATGTGCTGCTTGTGAGTTAAGGAATTGAATATTTTGTCAGAATTCATTCAAGAGAAGGAAATGGAAGCTGAGTATGAATCTGGAACTGACTAAATCTTATAACATTTAATTCGAATCAATATTATTGACTTGAGATTGAATTATTGCAGGTACATTAGAATTAAAACCTTGTTCATTCATCACAAAGATGCATTTAAGATAAGCTTAACAAGAATTAAAGTGAAAAACTCCACAGATCAAGCTATTTTTCAACAAAGAAACTTTTCTAAAACACCACCATTTTTAAAAATTTCCCAGTCTATAATTCTGCATGGATATACAAAAGAGATTGAATTTTAAATTTTTTTACATAAACTCTTTGTTCGTGTGTACACATTTGCATGTTGAGGATGTCTTTTTCACTTAACGAGCACCAAAAAAAAGACGAGGATGTTGCACAAAAATTCCAAAATACTAGCATGTATCTATTTATAAATAGACATAAATGTACATGTATGATTATACCAGCTCGAAACCAATCTTCATTAACCACCCACAGTTATAACAAAAAAAAAAAAGACGACCACCCGAAAAACAGAGTAGAAACCTTTTTGGATGATGTAATGATAATAATGAGGATGAGAAATGTTAAGGGGGGGGGGGGGGGGGGGGAAATGAGAAGCACACATTGGAAAATGACGCAAAAAAGAAGGAGAAAGAAAATATTGAGATGAAAAATGGTGGAAATTTGTTATGTAAAAAAAATGAATTAAATAAGTGAGAAGCATAAAACTTTGTTTCATCACCATGAAGCATTCTGAATTAAAATTTTCTGACAGAATTTACAAATGACATTCGGTAATTAGGATTAATAAGGAGATTGCTAATTGTGATTTAATGAAAACATGTTTTTAAGAATGATTGAAGAGCTTTTGAGTGGAAAATTCAAAAAAAATTCTCAAGGTTGAAATTACTTTCGCAACAACCTCTTAAAAGCACCACCATCTTTTTCTATCAATTCCATTTTTTTTTATTTTATATCGCAGTTGTGTAGGTGTTTGTCACATGAAAAAAATGGAGCCCTTCTTGTTTTTCTGTTTCAAATGAAATATTTTTTTGCCATCGTTTTTTACTTTTTTTCTTTTAAAAGAAGGGATGGGATTGGATATTTCGTTCAGTATTTATGAGGATGTTATTTAGAATTGAGAGATTTGAAGCATATCTGTGGGATTCATACCCCTTTCGTGAGGTCTGAACCCCTCCCCCCTCACCATTCTCATGATCATTATTGTTCTAAAACTAAGCAATAATTTTATTAGAACAATTTGGGTGAAGGGAGTTCATTCGTTAACATCACTAGTACATCTTCCCCTCTGAACCTTCTTCCTCCTTTCTGTTCTTTTTTGTGTACTTCAAAAAATAGATCAAAAGGGATATTCAATTTCAATTTTTTCTTTTTTTAAGGTTGCCTAACATTTTATAATTATTTGTTTGCTGCTTGTTATTTATTTATTTATTTCAACACGATTCAGCGGATATGAATTTATTTTTTTCACCTTTTCTTGTAATTTAAAAGCTCAACAGCTTACTTTTTATAACATTAATTAATGTATAATGAACCTCAACGATTCACACAAAACAAATTATAAAAAAATTTTTTTGTGTTCTTTCATTCTTCTTGCTGCGTAGAACGCTGTGAACCGTTGAAATATAAAATTTACTGCTTGAAAATCAAATATTGTGAAGCAACAACAAACAAGCTATCCATCCATTCCACCCATTTTACTTATATTATTCATTTAGAATTTATATATATAAAATTTTCACATTCACATTTTCCAGAACCCCCCCCCCCCCCCCTCCCCTTCACAAAATTTTTCCCATGCCAAAAAGATGGTAGCTACAAAAATTATTGCATGTGACGGAGCAGCGTACACTAGAGAGCTCTCGAGTTTGTTTTATATTCCCGGGCTCAATGGCTGACTACTTGCAGCTATAACATGTTTTATTCTCTCTCTCAATCTACATTCTTTCCTCTCCATACCACCTTTATTATGTAAAAAAAGAATAATAATATAAACGCAATTCATTACTAATGCTATGCTATTGATACACATACATTCGATTCTGTCTCAAGCAAAAACAAAAAAAAAGAAATGTAAAATAAAGTTTGGAAAGTTTTTAAAGCTTTCTGTCATTCTAGGAACAAGAATTTTTAAAGGTTTTCGTGCTTTATTTGTCATGCAAATGAATTTTTATTTGGGTAATAAAAACAATAGTACTAGTAATAATGATTATAGCATACCCACTGCTTCTAAATAGATATACGTACATGTATTTTCTTCTGCTTCACTGAAAACTTTATCTTTTTTTGTCAGGAGAGATGAGAAGAAAAAAAAGGGAAGAAAAAGAAAAAAAAAAATAAAAAATTGAATGAGAGGAGCCTGTTTACTATGCGTAGAACGATACACAAAATATTGCAATTATTTACGGAACCGACAACATTCACATGTACGCTTTATAACCTCCTGCACATATAGAACAGCAGTGACAATGCTTTCTCTTCTCTCTATACATGCAAGCATAGATGAAAATCCGCATATAAAATATGAAGCAAGCCTCATACCCAAAAGTCCCCCCCCCCCTCCCCTTCGACTATACCGAAAAATTTTCTCTTTATTTTTTACTCTTCTACTTGACACAATAGTGCAACTCTCCATTTATACATAAACTTTTGTGTGTTGTTCACTCATCTATTGCTTTTGATACATATGGTCATTCTGTATGAATATTCCACCTATAACATTTCTTTTTTTTTCCTCTTTTTCATTATTCAGAAATGGACAACACGTACGCACACAAAATGTGGGTAGGCGATGTTTGAGGGGGAGGATCGGGGGAATGCGGTGGGTAGATCAGGGAAAAATAAGAAGAAGAGTGGGGAAGATGGAAAAAGTAGGTACAGAGATGGAAAATCGATAAATGAAAACTGTCTTTTTCAAATCTCTCATTTTAGTTTTCCGTGTTGCACAGACGCCTGATATGTTTATAAATATAGATATGCATACGTACAAACATACATATTTATATGTTCGTTTATGCTATATACTTTCCACAAATAATATTAACAATAATATTAGGTATGTTGTACATAAAGAAAACTATGTAGAAATATCTCGTGATGCTTCTGATTACTATATTTGTTTTTCCACTATATTTGATTATATTCATGCATAATGATGAGATTGTTATTATTTTGAAGTTTAATTGTGAATTATTTTAGAATTTTAGTTTTTTTTTCATCATCATCCTACACATGTATCGTCATATTGCATGAAACATATTCGCATCTACAGCATACATAAATTCATCAATTAATTAGTGCATTTTATAATCAAGAAATTTATTTAAAACCACACAATAGGATGCTTTCTATAGACTTCAGTAATAGGATATTTCGGGTATGATGCATGTTATTTATACATAGTTTGGATGGACAAGTAAGTTGAGGAAAAGAAGATGAAATGTTAGTGATGAAACGCATTCTTAAGGTTGTGGTCATGATTAGAAGTTGAAGGACGTTAAGACTGAAACTAGGTTGACTTTAGCCATACAAAATCATAGCCGGTTAAGACTTTATCCCGAATAGTGCAAGCCGGTTAGTCAAAAAAAAATTCGGCTCCAAGCTGGTATAACTTTGGCACTATTCTGTGTTTATTGACTAGCTGTGTACTAGAAACTTTCGAAATAACGCAAGCTTAGATGGTTAAACTGAATTGAATTGATAATGCATTGTTCTTGGTCTTTTAGACATTGATACAGCAAATCTGACCAAAGCATCTTAGGGTTGAGTCTTGAGCAGAGTTACGTGTATTTTGTCGGATCAAATGCTGCAGAATTCGTTTGAGAGAAGTACAAATGGATAATTTCGAAAAGACATCTGAAACTTTACCAGTTTTCCGAGAGAAACCGAGATGAAGGTAGAATTTTTCGAGACCTCATAGTTTCTGAGATCTGAAGATGCTCAAACTTGCTAAAATCCATTTGTAATGCTGATGGGACTTTTTCAAAAACCATCCAGATTGTGAAGTATAGCTAATATCAAGTAATACAATTAAATGACCTTTACTTTATGCCAATTAAGACGCTGCTGAAGACTAAGGTAGCACCTCGACAGTCAAACTAGGGTTGGTTAAGATTAAAAATGGACCATTTCTAAAATCAGCTCATTCAAAAAAAGCATCAACAGACTCAATAACTAAAACTAGCAGCCTTCCATTCGTTACGAAACAAACACAATCTGACAAAGCAAATGCTCAGCCTGATAAATTCTCTTAAAAAGTTCCGATCATTATATTTAATTCTCAGTATTTAAAATCATCTCATGAATTTCATAAGCATTTTATATTGCAAAGTTCCTGCCTGATGAATCTATCAATTGAATATCCATAAAATTTCTCAAATTTTTTTCCATAAAATGAATTTCATTTACTCAAATACTCAAACATAGTTAAATTAACAAACAAATCAAACTATAATTTTTTACAGTTGAACTACTGTTCTTGGGTCATAAATAATGTCGGGAATTGCCTCGCGAACTTATTCAACCACAAATAAAGGTTCGCATCTTGGTTAAACACTACAAAAAAATGCAAAAATGAGCAGAGAATTTAGTTTCTTTGTAGCTTAACATAGAAGAGAACAGAAAAGAAATGAGAAGCAGGAGAAAAAAAGAAGCGAAAATCAAACCACAACAAAATTACAGCTTTATGATCATTTATTCTGCCATTTGTAATGATTTAGCACGCCATATAATGTGGTAAAGTAAAAAAAAATTTGGTGAACTGATGCAGTTGTTAGCTTTTTTATTGCCATTTTCTGGTCGTAAGCGACCAAACAAAACTAATTCCCACGTAAAAATTGTCAATGAAACTTTTTTGTGTAAACAAAGTCTGATCTTCATAATATAAAATTCAAGCTACTTTTCATATTGCAATAAAAGTGACCATTTCAGCATTGGATTATTCAAAGCATATTTCCTTTACAAAAAAATGAGCTACTCTCATTTGTATTACAATAGCTTATCTCATTTCTTCTGTGTTTTGGATCTTGTTCTACATGTGGAATTTTTATTCAGCCAAAATGGGATGAAAAGAAACTCGCAAAACGTGAGTTTATCGATGAATAATTTTTTATAAAAAAACATTCCAGTCTCTTTTGTAGGTTTTCTTGAATGAAATTAATCACATTTTAATTTTGGTCTATTTTTTGTGAAGGATTGAAGAGCAATAAATAGCTGCAGAATAGAAAATTTTCAGCAAAAGAGTCGACAGCCTTTGAAGTTTGACGTTCTCGCGAATGAGATTGCGCCAAAAATGCCTTTATATAAACGAATTTGAAAGCTTCTACGGTTGACAATGTCAACACTTTTCAAATACGACCACTAGAACTGCCAACCACCATGATAGCTATCATCTATAAACATTTCCATTGAATTGATTATTGAAACACAGTTCATGGCTGTCGATAGTGCATTTCCAGAGATGGAATTATGCTTTTTTTAAAGAGAATTATTGCAATTTAGTTTCTTTGGGTTTAAAACATTTGAGGGTTGATAAGATAGGATTGAGGAAGGAGTTAAATGTAATTGGATTGATCGTATTGAATGCTAGGTCTGTTTTAGTTGGCATATATTTACTATGACACTAAGATATACCTAAGCTACCGCTCTAGCTGCATTATACTATCCGCAAGACTTTAACAAGCCTAAGATTGAGATTCAATTGATTATAGAAATTAAGTGTCAACAGTGGATAACTTCAGCGTCTAATAATATTTGAACAATACCTCAGAAGACCAATCAAACTCTAAAATAACAAACTTAATAATTTACGTCACAATTTCCATAAACACACTCACACTAAACAACATTGAAAATTGAAGATAATGGAGGAAGTAACATTGATATGCAGTAACAGTGTTCATTAATGTTTAATTGGCCTATGCTTATGTGTCCATTTCAGGTAGTGATTAAAAAATTCATTATGCGTTTCAGACATTTTTTTTTATTTTAATTCCTCTTCTCATTTTTCTCTTGATCTATAATATGCTTACGATTTCTGCGTGTTATGAATAATTCATTTTAATGATTTTATGGCCAGTATTTCTTGTATTTCTTTCTCTCTTTCATTCTATTTCATTGATTCTCAATGTTAATAATAATGATTATTGTTGTTGTTGCAATAGAATTGAATAGTTTTGAGCTTCTCTCTTGAACTAATATTATATTTCGAAATATATTCAAATAAATATGTACGTACAGTAGAGCATCATCAATGAATTTCTTGGAATTAATTTTATAAAATAAATTTTAATAAAGCACATCAGATGCATGAATTTTGTGGAAAGACTAATACAAAAACAGAAAATTGCAATTTTTATATTGAAAATTAACATATTATCGATAAGCGGATATGAAGTCCAAAACAATATTGTGATGTCCATTGCATGCATTATTATGAGACTATTATGTAAGATCATTCGCAATTAAATGTAAAGCATACTAGTTATGCAAGCTTTTTTCTCATTTATCAGAGTAATTTTTCTTTGTTTATGGCTTCATTCTCTATGAAATGCTAGAATGAATCATGAAAATTTCAGATGTGCTCAAAGAAACTTTTTTTTGTTGACATAAATATAAAAATTATATGCGTCTCAAAATTGTACAAAAGAATCAAGCAAATTTGTCTTTCAGAAAAAAAAATATTTTTTGTGTATTTTCATGCGTTCGTGCCTCAAGGTTGATTAAATGCTATACAGGAAAATTTAATCCTTTTTAGAGAAATCATAGCGAAAATCTAGCATGTTACATGAATTTTGATAAAGGATTTTATAAGTTATATGTGCGCAACAGAAGGATAGATTCAAGGATTTTATGGTAAGAACTAGATTTTGATACTTAAAGGAACTTGCTTGAGTCGAGACTTGACGGTAATGTCTAGGAAAAAAAATAACTTGAATAATGACAACTTTTTTGAAGAAAATATCATTAATAGACCTTAGGTCTAGCTTTTTGATGTCTTGTGCCAACTTGGATATGTTTTTATTAGTAAACAGGTAGTTGCAAGAAAGCTCAGCATAATGACCATTTAAACTAAGCTTAGGTACGCAGATTTACATAGAAACTATCCTTATTTAGAGATGTAACTTGTACTTAGATTTGGAATTTGATTTAATTTCATTGGTTTTTGAGTCACCAACCATAAATGTTCCGTTTAGACAAACGATTTCGACTTTTCTTTTTCATTTTAATTGCACTTTATTGCATTTATTGACGACATACTGTCCGGAAATAATTCACATTTTACACTTTTGTATTTGTATCCATATGAATTAGTATTATGTAGGATCAAACTTCTAATCTTCATATCTAGGTTTCAAATAAACTAAGGCTTTCGTTTCCATTCGTGGGTAATCTTGTAGCTCTCGTTCCTATTTCTCCCGCTACACTTCAAGTTCCTTACCCGTTCTTTAATCCAACGTTGCCCAAATGCTTAATTATGGCTTGATCTCGTAAATTAAGCAGTCGAAGTATCTAAACTTCCGAAAAAGAACAAATTGGGAAATGGCTGGATTCGAATCGATGACCTTCGAGTTACCATACCAAATTTGAGCCAAACGCCTTACTCATTCGACCAGCAAGGCACTTAACTGCTTAATATGAAAAAATCCCACGATCCTCTGATAAAAACCTAGTCAAACATACTTTTCAGCTCCTAAACTTTCTTTTTTATTAACACTAATTCAACCGCTCTTAATTTGTACTCTTTTTTAATTCAAGGGATCAAACAACATTTTCAGACCTCTTCAAACCCTCTTTTCCTAACTTAGCTACCTTTATGCTCATTTATACACATTCATTAACTCTTTAAATTATTTAAAAATTGAATCGTTGGTTAATATTGCATTAAACTCAAACTCTCCGTCGATTATTGTACGCATCGTCCAAATAATTATCGTTGAATATTAAAAATTTTGTATGATAATTACCTATCGCAGGGTCTAGCACTGCCTGAGCCGCTTGTTCCTCACTTACAGGCGTTTTGAGCCACATTTTTTTCAATTTCATAGCTACCGGTGAATCAGAATCTTCGGCTGTCGCCACTAGAATGTTTTGTAAAGAGAAAAATGGAAAGAAGAATGATGTGTTTATGTGGCCACAGAATATTTATTTTTTTGTTGATTTAAATGTATATTTTTTGTAAGGAAATATAAAGTTCTACAGTAAAGCTCTACGAGAATAATAATAAAAATAAAGAACTGAGATTGTTTTCCTGTTGCAAAATGAACATTTAAGTTCTTCTACAACATTCATTTATCCATGTCAGATATTCTTCCATAAATTTAAGACAAATAATTTTTAATAATAATAATTTGAAATTTCTTTAATTTGAGTAATGTTCATATGACAATGAATGCCAATCAGAAAGTAATGTTCTTCTACATTAGTTATGAATTGAATGTTGTTTTATGCAAAGACTTTCTACGTGTTGAGAAGTTTTAAAAGAAAATAATTATCTTAAAAGTTTGAAAATTCAAAATTTGAGTTTTAATTATGTTAAGAAAGACTTTTTCTGCATTATTATTATTTTATATGCTAAATTCTACAATAAATTGCAATACTTAGAATAAAAACTACAATTAACAAAGATAAATGAGCTACAAAATTTAAAACAAAACTACTTTGAATAGTAAAAATTAAAAATTATAATAAAAAAGTAAATTTGTCAAATTCTCAGAATCACCAAAATTTCACCAAATCATCTCATTACACAGATTCCCAATTATCAGCCTACATATTTTTCCAAAAAAACAATCAAACATTGAAATCTTAACCAAGGCAATTGAAAAGTTCATCGTCAACTTCTTCTTCATAAGGCACAGATTTGTATATTTTTAACCTTAACTTATGAACTTCAAAGGTTATCTTCACTAGAATTCTTTCACCTTTCTAACTCGTGTCTACAAAGTTATAATCGTACAATTTCATTTAATTAACACAAATTAATTATGAACAAAACGTTTTGCGTCAATCCATTAGAATTTTCTTTGAAATAAATGTCCACGTTTTACTGAGAACAATAGAGTTGGATAAAATGCAGTTCGTAGGATGAAATTTGAGTCTAGAGAAGGTAACTATTGTGAAACCCACGCTTCAAGGAGAGCTATTAGGTATGGAGCAAGTAGAAAATTTGAAAATCTTTGGAATTTTACATAACATCTGTAGTAAAAATGTGGGTGACACTAAGAAGTGACGTCTATCTTCATTCTTAAATGAACCACGAGGTTCATTCATCAGGTAGCTCAAGGATGAACGAAAAAGTTTATAGCTGCCAGTTTCTTTATTTGTCCCTATAATCTAATGACTCCTTTCAAAGTTAAAACATCGAGTAATTATCAATCTTACATCTTTGTAGATTAGGATCACAATACAAAATTTTTAAACATAAGACTTGAACCCACGCTTTTAAAAAGAATAAACTCCTAATTTTGTTTGGATATCTTAACAATTCAATCATCTGATTCCTTTTGTCACTATCGATATTTCTTTTATATAAATGAATCATTACTGACTAGTCGTTCTGGAATGAGTTCGCAACTCATTGTTCAATCGACAACAATATCCTTCAAATTCAGAACGACAGCCATAAAACCGAAAGTTTCAATCCTCAAAAAAACAATTTCAAACAAAAGGATTACTTTTCGTCAAGCTCATACCCAAGTAGACATCACATATCATCAGCAGAAATAAGAATTTTCAAGTCCTTGAACTTATTGTTGATACATAAAGAATACTCAATTCACTTAAAAGGTAGAATTATTCACCCTAAACATTAAATATTGAAAGTTCTGTTCCCAAAAAAAAAAAAATGTTAAAGGAAATTGGATTGTTGAAAATAATTTTAAATAAGAAAATTTTAAGTAATCAAAGGAAGAAGATTGATGTAATAACATTATGTTCTGTTACTTTAAGCACCCAAAAACAATATTTTGAAGATCTTATATCAAATTATCAAACATACATATAAGGACTCAAAATAAATTTTACAACAATGCATCTCATGATATTTATGCACAACATCTATTATATCTCTCTGAACTTTATCTAAGAAAAGGATAAAAATTAAATCTGCATATGATATGCTTTTGTGTATTGTATATGAATGTTATGTATGTTCGAAATACACAGAGAACTGCGAGCGAGCAAATGTTTTAAAACAAGGAGGATTTTTGAGTGGGAGTAGTTGATTAAGTTTCATACGAGTATGAGGTGTACACTATGATTGAGGAAGAAGTACAGAATTATGGATTTATTTATCTTTTCTATAAAACTACATATACAAAATATCCCATATGAAGAATCTGTATTATCGCATTGAAGTAGCAATAGGATACAAAAAAAAAAAAATAACCTACACCTAGCAATAATACGAATTATTCCCATATAACACAAAAAGCATTTGTAGATAGAATGGTTGGCTGGCTGGTTGGATGGCTGGTTTGAAAATATTTCGAGGTAGAATGATGAAGGTGATGGCAACAGCAACAACAGCAACACAGAATCTGAGTAGAATGAGAACGGAAAATAGGGGTGGGGGAGGAAAGAAAAATTTTTGTATGTGAATCGGGTAAAAGTTTAGAGGTGGGTGGGTTGATGGTGTTTCCAATCAAAATAAGTAGAATGAGAAAATGTTTTTTTTTGGGGGGAAATATCATCACAGAGACGGTTGTGTCACAGATATTCATCCATATTCAACTACAAAATCCAAAGTACATGTCTGTATAACTTTTTTTTTGTTCTGTGGTGGCAATGCTGCTGCTGTTGCTGCTATGAATTGAATTGAATGAATGATGGTGTGAGGAAGAACGAGGAGAAGAATTCAAGCACGATGTAGATTTTTTGAGAATAAGGGATGAATGGGGATGAGGCAAACGGCTCTTTTGTATGTGATGTGATACAAAGCTGGTTACTATGGGAACCACGAAGGGGGCAATTCATGGGTGGTGATGTGTGTGTGTGTGTGTATGTGTTTATGTGTGTGTAAATTTATTTTATATATTTATTTTCAACGGCGATGGGTGGATTTGTAGGTGGACTTTTTAGGGATTTTCAATTTCATAGTTTTGAAGTGTGAGAAAATAGAAAATTTTATCAAACGAATGTGGCAGATTATAATCATGTGATGCACCAGTGCTGTTTACATTGCACAAATATCCAATATAGACAACATTGATAATTCAAAATTAAAGAATTTTTGATGTTAAATGACATTTGGCATTTAAGCTCGTTTCATAAATGAGTTATCGATGTGTCTAGAGAGTCTGAATGTTTTATAAGCTCGTGAATATATTCTTCCAATTAAAAGTTTTAAATAAATAATAGACTTTAATTTAACAATAATAATAATTATCAAAACTTCAAAATTTAAATAATTTATCAATACAAATAATCATTATGAATGTCCAAATCAACTAAATCCATTGATGATTCTGAAATAATTAATTTATGGTAATATTTCATCTCAATGTAAGCTTATGTCGTGCATAATCTACTCATCCAATCTATCTATTGATGATGTATGTAAAATAATCCTTAATTAATCAATATTTCAATGAAAATTTTGTAATGACAAAATGAAGGAATTGAAGCAATTATTATGCGTTAATTATCAATTTTCCATATGCTACTTAAAGATAATGTCTTACTTCTCATAACAATATAAAATGGAAAATCTATTACTGTATGTACCATTCTAAGCACATCATAGAAGCTTATATTGAAATGTGCAGTCTAAGTTGATACAATGATGATGAAAATTATTCACGAATTATAAACTAATTAAAGAAAATTTACATGTTAATAGAAAGTGATGGATAATGAATGTCATTTGCGTCTATAATCATATTAGGAATTTAGGTACGAGAACTTTTTCATATCTTATCTCTAAATTTTCCATATTTCTCATTCCCAACAGAACCATTTCTTACTTAAACAACTAAAACACAAGGACATAAGAAATGTGAAAAATTGTGAAACATAACAAGACACGAAGCAGAGAAGAAACACAAGTCACAACACGATAACTATCATTCGAAGAAGTAATTTTTACACACAGCAGGGATTTAATTTTGTTTTTTACTTGCAATCCGTTCAAGTGAGGACAATTGTGCTCCTTAACAAACCAGAGCAAGACTAAACACCAACTTGTTAGAGAAATTGATGGCAAAAAATCACTGCAGTCAACAAAGTATAGGCAGGAGAAATTGTTAAATGTTATTTTGAATGCTTGAAGAACTTTTAAGTTCGTGTATTATTCTGAAAGCTAATTTGACTGGTAGCATTTGAGAGGAGCTTCATTGATAGCATATGAGAGAAGCTAGACTAACAGCATTTGAGAGTAGCTCGACTGACAGCATTTGAGAGGAGCTTGACTGACAGCATTTGGGGGGGGGGGGGGGGGGAGCTCAACTGACAACATTTGAAAGGAGCTTGACTGACAGCATTTAAGATAAACTAGACTGGCAGCATTCGAGAGGAGCTCAATTGACAGCATTTAAGGAAAGTCCACTGACAGTATTTGAAGAAATATCTACTGAGAGAATTTGGAAGAGCTCAACTGACAGCATTTTAGAGAAGCATTGTAAGATTGTTTGAGTCAATCTATTTTGATGTTATTTTCTGTTACAAGAGACTCTAGAATTCAAAAACTTTTCGAATCAGCTAATTACCCCACTCAAAAACGATTGAAGATTCTTATTGAATAACACCCATTAAGGTATTATATATCTAAGCAACAATATTCAAATCCAATCTCATTATTAATAACAATTTTCAAGAAATAAAATTTAATTTCCCATAGAAATATTGAGACTATACATTTCTCAATAAGTGATTACATAACAACAAGAAAAATAGAAATTTAGAGACTAATACGTGAGTGAGAGGTACCAGAAGTTTAATATAGGCAAATAAGAAATTCGTTGAGCATAAAGAGAAAAGTTCTTTCATTTCACAAATAATTTTATTTTTTCATGATCCATTCTCACACTGCTCTCCCACCCTTCCCCCCTTCATCATTCCATCAACAACCAAACCATCCGTCCCAGGGTGGCTTCGTGTTTTCTGCCACATCGCTTTCTGTGTGTCGTCAATGGGGACGTTTTTTCTGTATGGAAGGAAGGTGGAAAATATGGAAGGATGCAAAAGCAATAGCAGAGTAGTTTGAGGTTGAACGAAATGAAAAAAAAAAGAAGTATGTGGATGGAGGAAAGCATAAATATGTATACATCCCTGACTGTAAAGTTGTATGCAGATGTTGTACACACACACAAATCCTAACCCACCAAAAAAATATATCTCCCTCTTCCTCCAACGAAAAAAAGAAAAAATTTTACTTGAAAAGGATGATGATAAAATAGAAAAGAACTCCCTCAGCTAAATGAATGTCATGTGAGCTACAAGAAAGAAAGGGAATTCAAATATCTTTAGTCTTTATTGTGTAGCACCCTAATATATTTTTATAATGCATTAAATGTATCAGAAATTTTAGCCTTTCTTATCGCTAAGCAAGTGCACGAGCTTTAAGATAAATGGAATTTTTGCGAATTATAGGTTAAGAATTGTGAAATGAGATTTAATATGAATTTTTTATGCAATTCATATTACTAAAAATATTTCAAACGTTCTCACAGACTTGACAATTCTGAACTGGAAATGAAATAAAATGTTCCCTGACAAATAAAATTCTACAGAAAAATGTGTCTTTCAAAGCTATCATAACCTTATAAAAGAACTCGAGAAAATGTTGCAGAAAATAATGACAAACAAAGTACATCAATACCCTTGCGGCAATGTCTGTAACAATCTTTGAATCTTTAGTTGACCTTATTTTACGAAAGATTTGGGATTCTTATGAATGTTATAAGAAGGTTTTTGGAGTAAATTGAATTTTTACGGGATGCAAAAAATGAATAAAGACAATAATATGAATGTCATGTGATATTTTTGGGAATATGTGAAGTTGTGGATGATTGGAAAAGAAACTTTTGTGAATGGATCGATAGTTTAATGGATTTTAATCAAAAGTTATTGATGCAAAAGTTGAAATCGATAAATTTTTTGAAATAATATTGACTTTGAAAAGAGTAAGGCTTATGGAAGGAAGTAGAAGTGATTTGGAGTCGACTTAAAGTCAGTTGATTTTAAATTGGAGTTTAATCGACTTCAAAAGAATCTGCTTAAGTTTGAAACTCAAAGTTTCATCAATATTAGTAGTAACATAATTTAATTCTCCTGCAAGTCCCCTACAAGACTTTATTAAATTTCAAACTTCCATTTCAATTGTAAAGCCAACAATCTAATAATATAAAGAAGCCACAAAAAAAAATCAATTAAAATTGAGATTATGTCAACATTATCAGTACTTTATGAAATATAATCTTTGAGTATTTAAGATCCATCAATCTATTCTTATCTATGAAGACAAGAGACAGAGCATTAGCGTTATTATTAAAATATGTAAGACAATATGATGGTAGAAGAGCCAAATACAGAAAATATAAACTAATCGATATCCGGAATATGTACTATTTTAAGGTTCATTGTAATTCTATTCCCCCAGAAATTCGCTTCTCATTCTATTCTGAATTGTCGTTACAATATCCGTATCTTTGAATCTTTGATGGTGGTGACTGTACTTTTTTTTGTTTCAATGCCATTTATATATTTTTTTTAAAATTCCATCTTTTTTGTTGTTGCTTATGGAAAGAGCAAAAAAAAAAGGCAGGAAAAGAAGAACTTTTTTTTGTGCAGATGGAGAAATGGAGAAGAAGGGCATCATGTGATTTATAAAATTTAAAAAAAGGTTTTTTTTGATATGATTTCAATTAGTTTAATTTACTTTTTTTTGAAATTTCGAGAAATTTCGATCATTTAATATTTAAGATAAAAAAGGATTCAGAAAGCTATGCGAATATAATTTTAATATCTAAGCAAATATTTGTAATGCTTAAAAAGGGAGAAGAAAGAGGAAGAAAAAAATCAATTAAAAGGGAAACATTATGTGTAGTTTCTGTTCTTTTTTTTTCGGCGATTAGAGTATGCGTTCTTCAGGTTTCTTTTTTTCTCTCTCTCCTATACTCGTCTTTTTACTGTTGCCTGCTACTTTCTACCCAAATGGATATTTTTTTTCACTAACACATGTGCGCACATGAAGCTGAATTGTATTATTGTTGGTTGACTGCTGTTTTTAAAATATTGTTTTTTGAGGGTTACGCAAAAATGTAACTTTTTTTTCTTTTCTTTTAATTTCCAATGGAACAATAAAGGCAAAGAGTGTTTAAATGAGATAAAAATGTAAAATTGGTAATATCAAGGAAGAATGAAAATCATAATTAACATGGATGGAATTTGACATACAATTTTTAAGGTTAGAATACACAAAATGAAACTATATCTAGCATGCAACAATAATAATAACTGAATTAAAAAATTGAGATCTACTTACTTTGATGTTTATCTGCTAATTGTACTAGAGGCGTTGGTAAATCACGTCGTCGGTAGAAACACATTACTTTAGCTTCTACATTACCAGATGGCGTTTTATTTAATTCCTCAATACGCCGTATCTGATATGGTGACGATGAAGATGTCTCAAAATAAACATAATCTGGATTTATACGATTTTTTTTTTCACATTTATTTTATTCCAATGGTCGATGAGAATCACACAAAAGAAGCGTTTGTAAGAAGAAGAGGAAATATAATAACGGATTAGTAAAAGAAATACGAATTCTTTCATATATTTATTGTATGTATGGATTTTTTTACACTAAATATTCACTTCCACTACTCTGGATTATGTTAAGGCAAGAGATATCATTACAGATATAATAAAATGCCGAGAAGATTTCCAAACATTTTTCTTTTTCTTATTCTTATGTTTTTCGATCAACGACTTTTTTAACAATTTTAATATTGAATAAATCTTGTTTGTTGAGATTTTGGTCGGGGTAGTTTGGGGATTATGTAACCCTTAGTGATCATTAAAATTAAGATTTTCTATACGAGAGTCTTAATTTTTTATTAATTTGCATAAAATAATTTTAGTAAATAAACTAGACGCTTAAATGAAGCACAAAAATTAATTTCGTGTTAATTGATCAATGACTAAAGAGTCTGTCTTCTGGATTTAATCATGTTGTGTCTATTTTAAGAGTTTTACGCGTGTGTCACGAATTTTAAAATCGAAGATCTTAATCACAATCTTCTGGCTCAATATTCATCACTTCAAGACTAGTTTAATCTAGTTTCAAGCCAAATGTTACAAAAAATGATTAATATGCTATTAAAGTATGAGAAGCATTACTCTTCATCAGGGGCGTAGTCAGGAATTTGAAAGGGAGGGGGGGGGGGGGGGGGGGGGGAATTTTTTGCATGGAAACATTTAAGGGGGGGGGGGGGGTATTTTTGTGATTTTTTCATAAAAACCCTAGCAAAATAAAGAAATTGCTGTTTACGTTGAGGGATTTGTCCCTCAAATCCCCCCCCCCCCTGGCTACGCGCCTGCTCTTCATCGATCAATTCAATAGCAATTTCAGCGTGACTCAATCTAAGAACAACCCCAATATAGATATTAACATATTCTCCACATGAATAATCTTACAAGCTTGACATTTTACACGAGAAAACTATATTTCTAATTATCAGCCATATTAAAAACCTTTCATACATCTTCTATGTAAGCTTAAGTTTTAGAATCAACAAATACGAAAAACATCGGCATTTTAAACACCAATTGTTTATAAAACATTGAAGAATTTATTTCACAACTTTTAGTTATTTTTTAAAGAAGCACAGAAAGGCAAAATCGATTAAACAAATAATAAATAAATGATTTAGCTACCTTTGTATGAAGCTTTTCTTAAGTCAGGTAATGTTAGACCATAAAACATTTGTGTTTATTTACACGAGTATTTAGTTAATGGAAAACAGATCTTCAATTGAAATGATAAAAAAAAACTGAGAAATTTTCTTTGTCGGAACAAATTTAAATTTTTGGATATGCGTAATGAATTTTTTTAAAGGCAATGTTTCAAGATTTCCAACCGTGAACAATTTCAATTTGACGAAAAAAGATAATTTATTTATATCTCCATTAATCTATACAACCTGTGTAACAACATTCTACAGTTGTCATTGCTCTCTCACATTTATACATTATGGCTGTACTATGAGGTAATGGTAAATGTTAGGCAGTACTTTTGCAATCATTAATATACAATAAAATATCATCGATAAACAAGCGTAAGTAGGGAATTTGGAGATGGATTTTGGGGGATGTAAAGCGTTTGTAAAGGTTTATTGTAAATCTGTTGTTCAATATTGCATTTTAGGAGGTGTAACAGGACAAGTGGACCTCACACTTAAATTTAAGCTGATTTGTCTGTATCATGCGGTTTAGATGGCTTCGCATATCCTGAATAGAATATGACGAAGAAGATTAGATGTTAAGAGGTTTGTGAGAACAGCGCTCTAGATTAGTGCTCAAAGTGGGGTCTTAGCCAATTTTCAGAAAATTTGTCCTTTAATCATCATTTAGAAGCTATGGACAAACATTTTTAGTACCTATGATTCAACAAAACTATAAGTAACTCTATCAAGCATCTAATCTAAGAATTCTGAGTGAGAATTGCAGATTTAAGATGCCAAAGAAGTCAATTATATCATTAATGGGTTGAATTCTCTACCAAAGAGCATACATCTTCAAAACTGTGGACAAGGACAAGCGTATAGATTTGTCTTTAAACAATAGCCTAGGCAGAAAGTTTGAAATCTTAAGCAATCTTTTTGAATCTTAGATCATTCGGAAACATCAGAATACACCACAAGTCTAAGTATATCATAATTCTACAACCATCATAAGTATTTAAAATCCAACCATCAAATTTGTCTCACAATTATTTAAATCCAAAAAAAATTATATCTCCCAAAAAAAAAATCCTTTTTCCGATCCATTTCAATTCGGTTAATTATTTTTCATTCACAATTTTATATGATAGGAAGAGCATGGCAGGCAAGCAATTTCCCAACGATTTTCATTTTTTTTATCGGTTTATGATGCATCAATACAAGTATGAATGAGTGAGAGTTTATTAATTAATTCCGGTTTGATTTCAATAATGATAATCGAATATAAAAAATGCATTGAATGAAACAGCGGTCAATATTTTTATTTTTATATTCACTCCATTATGAGAAAAAAAGATGATTATTATTATGAATGTATTTGTTTTGCACACTTTTATGACATGGGAAAATAATAAAAACAATTATGTTTTTTAATAATAAAAATGCCTATATAAAGGAGTATGTATGCGTTTTTAATTCATGGTCAATATCAGTGGTTATATATATAAAAAAAATATTTTACTACTATTTAAACAAATCGATGATGTTTGACATTTGTCCATTCATCCATCAAGTGTTAATAATTACAAAAATGTGTTACAATTAATTGCGCAAATCGATTTTTTTCTTCGTCCTCTTTTTCAGCATTCCGTGCTGTAAAGAATGTACGTGCAGAGAAATGAAGTCACATAAAAAAATAAAAGTATTGTGCAAGTAGACAGCGTGTCACATAATTACATTATTGCTCACTACAACTGCAGGATATTTAAGAGACGTCACTTTAAGCAGGAAAATAATGTTCGGAAGCTTTAAATTTAGCTGAGAATTAAAAATTTAACACGATAATTCTTTTTGGCAATGGATTGCTAAATAATAAAACAAATATTAGCCTTTTCTTTGTTTATTGAATTTGTTACTTAACACTTCAATGTTCGGAATTACTTTGTAAGCAGCTAGATTTTTTTTATTACGTAAAGCTATAGCTGTACAGTACTTTTTTAATGTCTATGATTTTTTTGTCATAAAAACTGGGTTTATTCACTTTGGGAGATCCGCTTTTTGAGTCTTATTCTTTTCAAGTTATTTTTGTAAAGTGATCACATAATTTTTAGAATCAAGGTAAGTGTTAAAGCTATCTGCGGGACATCACAAATGAAAAGCTGTAATTTTATGAATATTTAAATGTCAGATATCGAATTTTCTTAAATCAACATAAATTCAGGGTTAGAAAAAATGGATGATTTTCAGTTTGTGAAAATGAAACCAAAATTTGATACCTTCTAAGTATCAGATCTCATAAATTTTAGAATATAAGTTTGTGTCATGATGAGATCTCGTTACTCTCGATTGAACTCTCTCAGAATTGATGTTTACTGATTTGTATGTTTTTAATTGTGGCAGAATAAAAAATCTTAAATCATGTCATTCTTGTATAAAAATAATCTCAATTTGCAATGCAAATTAACGAGTCAAACTTTCGGTTATGCAAAAAATGCGAATTTTTGGCGCCTAGAATGTTGCACGTGCATTAAATACTACAATGAAGTTTGTTTTGTGATGTTTGAAAAGATTAAGAGATTAAAGTTTATATTGATATTTGGATTAGGTTTGGAAGTTAATCATAGAGTTGACCAGGATCAATTAGGTTTACTTTCAAAGTTTTGAATATTATTTTAATATTGATGAAAAAAATTTTTAAAGAATTTTCAAAACTTATCGTATTAAAGTAAATATTTCATTGAATTGAAATCAGAGAGCTTAAGAAAGAGTTTTTAAGATGGCATGAAGCTGGTAAATTCCACCAAAACTTCTTTTAAACCCTCGTGATTGCTTCTTTGGGATAATTGATTTGATTCTCTCAAATTTAAAATTTTTTTTTAGATCTTTATTGGTAAGAATTGAATAACTTTAAAAACTATGAATATAAATCAATAAAGATGCACTTAATCCAAAGATTCTTCAAGCATAGATCATAACTAAACCCCAAACATTCGTTTCATAGAAATAACTCTGAACGACTCAAACAAGAAACAAAATAAAAAGAATAATCAAATTTCAAGACGAAAATTGAAGATTTTCTGCCAATCGAGAAAGCCAAAATCTTTACAAATAAGATTAAATACTTTTGATACATATAAATAAGTTCTTCACACAACAATTTGCCAATAAATGCACTTATTTAAAATAAATTTTCTAAAATAGCAAAGACAAATTGAGAGGAAAGATTGAAAAGTCATTAAGAGAAAAAGTTGTGTCAGGAAATTAAAGAAGGAAAACCTCAAGATATTGTTAAGTTTGTCTACATTTGGATAGTTAGAGTCTCTGCTCTGTTATCATACATATCCCCAATATATACTTATACAGAATTGAAGAAGAAAGATATTTTGTTGTACGCAGATACAACTAAGAGATAGATATCCTCCCATACACATTTGCCACCCTTTAGATAGATATACACAAAGAGAACAAAAAATAAAAATAATTCAAATTCAATCAGCATTTTAAGGCACATACAATTGTGTCTTCATGAAATTTCATTTTCTAAATGTACACAGAAACGAAAATAAAACAATTTTTTTTCTTCTACTTTTTTTTCGGGCGAACATTGACCCTACAGCCATCTCATTGCTTTACGAACAAAAATTCTTATTATGATATTTTCTATAGAGCCGGAAGTAGCTAATTAGAAATTTTAATTTGTCCAAAATCATATGGGTTCAGGAATTGAGCAACTTATTATGATATCAAATATTTAAATGT